TGGAAGAGTCAAATGCTGTGTCCTCACATGACAGAAAAGCACAAGAGTAACAGTGCCTCAGCTAGTTTCCTCCAGCCCTTTTATAAGGCACTAATCCATTCATGAGTGATATGGTTTGGCTGTGTCCCCACTCAAATTTCATCTTGAATTGTAATCCTCATAATCCCCACATGTTGTGGGAGGGATCCAGCGGGAAGTGATGGGATTATGGAGGTGGTTTCCCTCATGCTGTTCTTGTGATAATGAGTGAGTCTCACGAGATCTAATGGTTTTATAAGCGTCCAGCATTTCCCCTGCTCACACTCGCTCCATTCTGCCACACTGGGAAGAAGGTGCCTGCTTCTCCTTTGCCTTCTGCCGCAACTGTAAGTTTCCTGAGGCCTCCCCAGCAGTGCGGAACCGTGAATCAATTAAACCTCTTTCTTTATAAATTACCCAGTCTTGGGTATTTCTTCAGAGCAGCATGAGGACGAACTAACACAATGAGTGATTTAGTCACTCTGCAAAAGGCCCTACCTCTCAATACCACCACAATGAATATTAAGTTTCAACATATGAATTTTGTAGAACTTTCAGACCACAGCAAAGACCACTTGTACTTGGCATGGTCTTTATGACATTATGTGTTTCTGCAATTGTGACTATTTGGGGGTAAAGAAAAAGGAGAAGAGACAGATTTCTACCATGGGTGGAGAAAGTAGAAAAGTTTTCTGAGACAGGGACTCACTGGGAAAGCTAGACCAATATTAGCTGCAATCTTTGGGAATGTAGGTCTTCACAGTGTGTCTCATGTTTGGTTTAAAGCACTTCCAAAATATCAGACAGTTATGTCTGAATGGAATCACACAAATGTATCACAAAGTCAAATATAACTTTTTTTTTTTTAGTTTCTAAAATGCGTGGGTTCTTGGTCCTATATATAACTTTCTGTTCTTCAGAGAAGAGCCACATAGAAAGGGCAGGCACTGGTCTTAAAGGGATCACCTTATAGGATCTAAACCAATACATCCCTTACACTTTACTTACAATACAGCATAAAATGCCTCTGCTAATGACTTGAGCATTGTATTTCTTGGATCTATGATCACTTATTATTTTAACCTTTCAAAGCCAATACTTTTAGAGCATTCAACTCAAACTACTTTTATTGGCCTGGAAATGCTTTATTGCAGTTTGGCTGACATTTTCTTTTAATAATGTCATTAGCACTACTTAAAAATGAATTCTGTTGGGGTATATAGTACTACCTTTGTTTTAAGAAAATGTTATGATTTTGTGTGTACATGAGGTGGGTCCCATAGCTACAAACATTAGCAATATGTTTCTGATTCAACAGAAAGATCTTTCTGATTCTATAGGCACGCTTCCATTTCTATTAAGCGTTAAGGATTTGGTTGGTAAAAATTCCTGAATTTAGATTTACTTTTTCAGGATTACATTGAATTCTCAACATCTTTTAAGAGACAGTCCAACTTCAGAGTCACTAGGCTTAATTAAAATCTCTAGCGCTTAGTCTGTTTATATTCCTTACCTACTTTGTAGATTTAGCTCTGGTAACTGTTGTTATGCTGACACTGGTTTCCAGTGGGTCACTGAAATCAAATTAATGCAGGCATCTGAAAAGTCAGACATCAATTGTGTTCATTTTCATTTTCCTTATTTTAAAAGGTACAAAATAAGGAAAAGTTATTCTGTTTAACCTTGAAGAATCCTGAATGTATGGACATAGACTACAAGCATTTTAGTGGAAAAATTAAAATTATTTGTAGAAAAAATCCTAAAGAACAAAAACCAAAAGCAAAATAAGAACAAAATTCCTTTCTATACCAATTCTTTTCTGAATATGTAAAGACCCAAGGTCCAAACTCCATTTCCTAGGCCTTTGGAAATGCCTTTAGAGTGTACTCAATACTTTACATTCTGTACTACTATCGAGAGCACTCTATACTGTACATTCAATTTCTTTGTCCAAGTGCAGTAGCTCTCAAAGTCTGGTGTCCACCATCAGGCCTAGGAACCTGCTAAAAATGTCAAGTCTTGAGACTCACTCTAGATATCCAAAACCAGAAACTTGATGGGTGGGGCCTGCAATTTGTGTTTTAACAAGTCCTCAGCTGGGTGCGGTGGCTCACTCCTGTAATCCCAGCACTTTGGGAGGCTGAGGCAGGTGGATCACGAGGTCAGGAGTTCAAGACCAGCCTGGCCAAAATGGTGAAACTCCGTCTCTACTAAAATTACAAAAAATTAGCTGGGCATGGTGGCGGTGGAGGGGGTGGGCCCCTGTAATCTCAGCTACTAGGGAGGCTGAGGCAGAGAATTGCTTGAACCTGGGAGATGGAGGTGGCAGTGAGCTGACATTGTGCCACTGCACTCCAGCCTAGGCGACAGAGTGAGACTCCATCTCA